TTGGAATGCTAAAGCAGGATTGTATCGAGCTGAGGCTAGCCATGGCTGCATAGCAAGATCTTCTCTCAAACCAGCCAACCCACTGAGGTGTGGTTGTGCATACCTGTGATCTCAGAGGCAGGAGGATCAGGAGTTTAAAGTCAATCTTAGCTCCATACCAAGTTTAAGACCAGCCTGAGGTATAGGACACCCTCTCAAACAAAATAAAACAAACGAATAAGGGCCATCAAGATTTCTCAGTGGGTACAAGTATTTGCCGTATAAGCCAAATGACTTCAGTTTGATTCCCAGATACTACCTTGGAAGGAGAGAACTAGCTGACTCTTGAAAATTTTCCTCTGACCTCAACATGGGCGCTGTAGCATGTGTACCTCCCATATTGCACACACACACACACACACACACACACACACACACACACACACAAGTGATAAAATTAAAAATAAAAATCCAAGCTGGGTGTGGTATACACCCCTTTAATTCCAGCACTTGTGAGGCAGAGGCAGGTGGAGCTCTGAGTTCCAGACTAGCCTGGTCTGTATAGCAAGGTTCCAGGTCAGCCAGGGCTACAGGGAGACCCTGTCTCAAAAAAAAAAAAAAAAATCCAGGAGCTGGGGCTGTTGCTCATTTGGTAGAGTGTGTCCTGTCATTCACAAAGGCCTGGGCTTGATTCTCACTGCAAAATAAAGCTAGGTGTGTGGAGGCATAGGGTTGTGATTCCAGCACTCAGGAGGTGGAGGTAGGACAATCAAGTTCAAAGTCATCCTCAGCTACATAGGGAGTTCTAGACCAGCCTCCTCCTTAGGAGCCTGGTTTTCACAGCCAGCAAGCTCCCTCCTAGTCTGTGGTTTATTTTCCCTGGAGAATTTAGGACAACCTGTGATTACTTGGAAGATACTATCTGTGGTGCCCATTGTAAAGACCACTCTCCCTCATAGTCTTCTAGATTCAAGCTGCATGTAGTCTGACCCACCAGCCACAATCAGTTTTTAATTATAGACTATAATGTTCTCAAATAGATCCTTTTAATAGGCAAAAAAAGTTCTAAAGGGTCATGGCCCTTTTGTATTGATTAAAATTATTTTTATTAAAAATCTCATGGTGGGGCTAGAAAGACAGCTCAGTGGCTAAGAGAAGGTACTGTTCTTACAATTAGGTATGGTGGTGCTCGCCTCTAGTCCCGGAACTTGGGAAGCAGAAGCAGGTGGATCTCTGTGAGTTTGAGGCCAGCTTGGTCTCCATAGTAAATTCCAGGCCAGCTGGGACTACAGAGCAAGGAGACCCTGTCTTAAAAAGACCAAACAAATGAACAAACAAAAAAACCGATAAAAACCCAATAGGTACTGCTCTTTTAAAGGACCAGAGTTTGGTTCCCAGTACCCACATCAGGTGGCTCACAACCACCTGTAACTCGAGTTCCAAGGTATCCAGTGCCCTCTTCTGGCCTCTTGTGGTACCTGCACTCGTGTATACACACACACAAATAAAATCTAAAAAAATAATGTCCATGGGGGATCAGGAGTTTACGTTCATAAATCTCAGCTACATAGAGAGTTCAAAGCCAGACTGGACACTTGAAACCCTGTCTTAAAAACAAAGCAAACCCTGAAAAACAAAATTAAAAAGTATGTATGAGGCTAGGGTATAGCTTAGCTGTACAGAATTTGCTTATCATAGGCCAGGAACTAGATTTGATTCCTAACACTGAAGAAAAAAGTCCAAGTATGCAGCTAGGAAAATACTTTTTTTTTTTTTTGGTCTTTTTGAGACAGGGTCTCCCTGTAGCACCAGCTGTCCTGGAACTCACAGAGATCCACCTGCCTCTGCCTCTGGAGTGCTGGGATGAAAGGTGTGCACCACCACACTTGGCAACAGTAAATACTTTTTATATTCACAGTTGTTACATCACCTCAGAACAAAATCATATACAAATAAAGCAGAAAGTCATACTCAAAGAACATGTGTTTTAAGGATATAGATACTTGGTTTTTTTTTTTTTTTTTTTTTGGTCTTTTTGAGACAGGGTCTCTCTGTAGCCCCAGCCTGGAACTCACTATATAGACCAGGCTGGCCTTGAACTCATAGAGATCCACTTTCCTCTGCCTCCCAGTGCTGGGATTAAAGGTGTGTGCCACCAGGCCCTGCATATAGATACTTCTTCTGGGGGGAGGGTAGGGAGGGCATTCTTTTGAGACAACCTCACCAAGTAGCTCAGGCTGGCCTTCCCAATCTTCCCGACTCTGCCTTCCCAAGAGCTGGTATTACAGATGTGTGCTATACTGCCTTTTTTTTTTTTTTTTTTTAAGGTAGCATATATTAATTGTATAAAATAGTGAGTTTCAGTCTGGTTTTTTTGTTGTTGTTTTGTTTTGAGACAGAGTCTCCCTGTAGCCCCAGCTGGCCTGAAACTTGCTATGTAGACCAGGCTGGCCTTGAACTCAGAGAGATCCACCTGCCTCTGCCTCCCAAGTGCTGGGATTAAAGGCGTGGGCCACCATGCCCGGCTCTCAGTCTATTTTAATCATATTCATATCATCCCTTCTCCCCTGTTCCCGTCCCCATTGGTCTCCTTCCTTTTCCTAAAAAGTCTTCCTTCTGTTTCTTTTATTTATTTAAAGAGATCAGCCTGCTTCTCCCTCCCGGGTGCTGGGATTAAAGGCATTCTATTTTTTAAAAAATTTTATGGAGCCAGGCATGGTGACACATGCATTTGATATGGAACTGGAGAGATAGCACTGTAGTTAAGAGTGCTTGCTAGCTGGGCGTGGTGGTGCATGCCTTTAATCCCAGCACTCAAGAGGCAGAGGCAGGCGGATCTCTGTGAGTTCAAGGCCAGCCTGGTCTACATAATGAGTTCCAGGACAGCTGGGGCTACAGGCAGACCCTGTCTCAAAAAGACCAAAAAAAAAAAAAAAAGAGTGCTTGCTGTTCTTCCAGAGGATCCAAGTTCAGTTCCTAGCAACCATGTTGGACAGCTCACAACCACCTATAACTCGAGTTCCAGAGGATTTGACACAGACATAGACATGCATGCACACACATACACATACACAAATAAAAATAACAAAATAAATCTTTTTTTTTTTTCTAATACAGGGCTGAAAAGATGGCACAGCAGGTAAAGATGCTTGCTGCCAAACCTGATGACCTGAATTAGATACCTGGAATTTAATGGTGGAAGGAGAGAATCAACTCTTGAAAGTTGTCCTCAGACCACCACACATACCTGCTAGCATGCACTCACACATGCACACAAAATAAATAAAATAATTTTATTTGCTGAGCGTGGTGGTGCATATCTTTGATCCCAGCACTCAGGAGGCAGAGGCAGGCAGATCGCTGTAAGTTCTAGGTTGGCCTGGTCTACATAGCAAGTTCCAGGCCAGCTGGGACTAGAAGGGAGTCCCTGTTTCAAAAAAACTCCAGAACACTTTCATTTATTCATTTTGTAGAAATGTATGTGTATGTAGGTGCCAGCAGCCACTGTGCTTGTGTGGAGGTCAGAGGACAACTTGAGGGAGTCAGTTCTATCCTTCCATGCAGGTCCTGGATCTTGAACTTAGTTATCAGACTTGTGAGGGGGGCGCATTTACCTGCTGAGCCCGTCCTTTCTATTTTAATGTATTTTATTTTTTGGTTTTAATCTGAATTGCACATATGAGAGAAAACAGTTTATTTTACTTCACATGATGGTCTCCGGTTCTGTCCATTTTGTTGCAAATAACGTAATTTCATACTCTTTTATGGCTGAATACTAATACTTTTTGTCCTTATATCACATTTTATTTTTCTTTCAAAAAAATTTCATTTTTGGCCAGGTGTGGTGGTATGCGCCTTTAATCCCAGCACTTGGGAGGCAGAGGCAAGTGGATCTCTGTGAGTTCAAGGCCAACTTGGCCTACATAGTGAGTTCCAGGCCAGCTGGGACTACAGGGAGACCCTGTCTCAAAAAAACAAAACAAACGAACAAAAACATTTTTATTTTACGTGTTTGAGTATTTTGCCTGAATGTATTGAAGTACACCATGTGAGTGCAATGCCCATGGAGGACAGAAGATGTCTTTGGATCCCCTGGAACTTAATTGACAGGCAGTTGTGGGCCACCATGTGAGTGCTGGGTACCAAATCCAGATCCTCTGTGAGATGAGGTCTTAACTGCTGTGCCATCTCTCCAGCCCCTCTTTTTGGCTTTTTGAGACAGGGTCTCACTGTGTACCCCTGACTGACTGGCCTGGAACTTGCTATGTAGATGAGGCTGACCTGGAACTCACAAAGATCCCCCTGCCTCTGCCTCCCAAGTGCTGTGGTTGCCATGCCTGGCCTGGATACTACTGTTTTGGCGAAACAGCTTGGCTGCTCACAGTACACGTATGGCATTGGCTTCACCCACAGTGCTCTTGAGAGTTCAGCATTCCTGTCTTGTCTGTCATTTGAGAATTTTCTCACTCCCCCACCACCCCAGTACCACAAAGAAATACTTGTTTAACATGATGCTATGGCATTATTTGGCCCTCTTTAGAGCTTAAAGCATCATTTACTTATTAAGTGTAGTCTGGTTCTTTCTTCTTCTCAACATGTAGTACTACTAGGGCCACTGTGCCAAGTGACTAAATGGACAGTGAACACAACTTTGTGGGATCAGTGAAACTGTTCTTGGTGCTGAGGTGCTGAAGCAGAAAGTTTATTGTTTTAGACTATCTTGGAATGAAGACATATTATAAATACTGTAGTGGAGACCAGAGAACTGTGGAGATCAGTGTCTCAGGTGAAGGAACAGTATTTATGTATGTATATTACTTTGAGTGAAAAGTATCTTTTTATTCACTTATAAGCTTCACCAGAGCAAGCACCATTTCTACCAGACACAGAGTTTGGCCTGCAGTAAATAACTACAGTGGGAATCCTGTGCTGATCAGGCTCTGTGTGTACCTTGGCAAGACTGTCCATTTCTTTTGATTTTGTATATATATAATCTTTTTTTTTTTTTTTCCTTGAACCAGGAAAAAAGAAGAAAAGCTGGACTGGATGTACCAGGGCCCTGGTGGGATGGTGAACCGTGAGGAGTACCTGCTGGGGCGCCCCATTGACAAGTACGTCTTTGAGAAGATGGAAGAGAAGGAAGCAGGCTGTTCTTCTGAGACAGGACTCCTCCCAGGCTCTATCTTTGCCCCGTCAGGTGCCAATTCCCTTCTTGATATGGCCAGCAAGATCCGGGAAGACCCCCTCTTCATCATCAGGTATTGCTGAGGTGCTGGGGAGGATTGTTACAAGAGATACCTGGAGACTGTCAGATGCTGCTGATTCTCTTGCTTTGTGGGTGGTTTAGCTTTGGATTTATCTGTCTCCATTTATCTCCTGATGGTGGGAAGGGACTCCCCTAAGGTGCCTGAGGCGGGGCCACATGGTAGATACTGGCAATGCACCAAACCAAACCAGTTTTAGTCACCCACCTTGGACCCTTAAACAAAAATGGCAGGTAGAGGCAAGAAGACAATGACAAAGATTTGGCAGTTTCTTGGAAATAAGTATAGAGTCAGCTAGGAGATGAACAGGCCTTCTTTTTTGGTCTTTTTGAGACAGGAACTCCCTGTAGCCCCAGCTGTCCTGGAACTCACTATGTAGACCAGACTGGCCTTGATCTCACAGAGATCCACCTGCCTCTGCCTCCTGAGTGCTGGGACTAAAGGCGTGTGCAACCATGCCCAGCTAAACAAGCTTTCTTAACCCTCTACTTTCATCTTTTCAACTGAAATTATATAGCCATTAATAACAACATGTTCCTTTCTTTCTCCAGTCTTTCTTCCTTATTTATTTAAAAAATATTTTATTATTTTTATTTTATACGTATGAATGTATTGCCTGCATGTGTGTAAGTGCACCCAATTTGTGCAATGACTGGAGACCAGAAGAGGTCATTGGATCCCCTGGAACTGGAGTTATGGATAGTTGTTAGCCACCATGTGGGTGTTGGGAACCAAACCTGGGTCCTCCATAAGAGCAACCAGTGCTTATAGCTCCCTAGCCATTACTCCAGCCCCTGCACCTAGCTTTCTTACATGGGTTCTGAAAGATCGAACTCAGATCCTTATGCTTATGTAATAAGCACTTTACTGATTAAGCCATCTCCCCAGCACTTTTTGTTTGTTTGTTTGAGACAGAGTCTCATGTAGCCCAGGCTGGCTTTAAACTGGCCATGTAGCTGAGAACGACCTTGAAATCCTGATCCTTTTGTGTCTGCACTAGGGAAGCTTTTTGATTTGTTAAGGCAGTATCTTTGGGGCAGTATCTTCGGGGCTTCGGGGCAGAGGACTTGATCAGCAACAGAGTCTTAGACCCTGGGACCCGTCTTTCCAACAAGCTACTTTATTTTAAAATTCAGATGGTTTTTATATATCCCAAGGAACTAGCAGTCACGTGGGATATGGCAGTCACATACAAAGATTTAGGGTACAAAGAAACAGGACATTTAGTCTGTTAGTTGGCGCCAGAAAGATTCTTTATTTTTTTTTAAGTCTTTTTGAGATAGGGTCTCCCTGTAGCCCCAGCTGTCCTGGAACTCACTATGTAGACCAGGCTGGCCTTGAACTCAGAGATCCGCCTGTTTCTGCCTCCCAAAGGCGTGCACCACCATGCCCAGCCTGCCAGAAGGATTCTTAAACTTTTACTCAAGGTTAACAATGCCCATCCGGTAATTTATTGGCCACAATGTTTTCTTTCTTAGAGCTAAAAGCATGGTGAACTTTTAGCTTTTAGTTCAGGAGTAAACCTTTAACCTGGCCTAATCTCTTAGCTAAGGATAGCTGAGTTATTTGTTCAGGACAAGGAGATGAGCTAAGGGTTGTTGACCAAGACGCTTTCCCACAGAGCAGGGAGCCTGCATTTATGACGAGGCTGCTTTCTCCTGCCAGTCTGGCAGTGTTCTGCAAGACGGGGATTATCAGAGCCACTATTTTCATTGCCCCTCTCTTTAGCAGAGAATGCAGCCTGGACTTAAAGGTTTTAGGCTCACCTCACCCTAGGCCCTGTCATCCTGGTTTCCTACATTCTTGTGTAGCCCTGGCCTCTGATTACTAATCCTTTTGCCTTAGTCTCCTGAGTACTGGGATTACAGTTGTGCACCATCACTCCCAAGTCCTTATTAATATTTTCTTGTGTCCCTAACTTATTTCCAAATTTTAATTTTTATAATCTGAAAACTTTAGAGTAACATTCCTTGATTTTTTTTAAAATAAATTCTTACTAAATTTTAATTTATCTTTATTTTATGTATATGAATGTTTTGCCTGCATGTATATAAGTACACCCCTGTGTGAAATGCCCATGGAAGTCAGAAGAGAGGGCATCAGATCCCCTGGAACTGGCAAAACAGGTGGTTGTTAGCCACCATGTGGGTGCTGGAAATGGAACCTGGGCCCTTTACAAAAGCAGCCATCTCTCCAGCCCCATCTTGATTTTTTTTTTTTTTTAACAGTAACAAATTCTTGATGTAAAATTTATGAGATCACAAAGAGTTTGTGCTAGCTGTGGTAAACAGAACAGCCTTTAGGGAGAATGACCAGTGTATCCTCTAGTAGATAGGATATGAGAATAAGACTTCTCAAAAGAAGAATCAGTCCATTGTCTTTGTTTACTAGATGACTCACTTGTTAGTATGCTAAACAATAGGTAGTTTTTGAAATGTTGCAGCCAGTGCATTCACAGGCCCACCCTTGTTTCTTTACTGGCGAGGGAAGCCTTAGAGTTGAACCCTAATGAGAAGGAGGTTGAACTGTCACACACAGCAGTGTCCCTATGTAGCTGTTCTCTACAGTCTGTTGTCTCTTGTGTATATTTGGGTGAGATTTCTGGCTTCTTCAGCCTGTAGATTTCAACATAGCATCTGTGTACGTGAGTTTTGAAAAAGGTTTGGTAAGGAGAATAACTTAATTCCCTTTGCAACAGATATAGTCATTAAAAATAATTTCTTTTATTTAGGAAGAAAGAAGAGGAGAAAAAAAGAGAGGTATTGAACAATCCTGTGAAAATGAAGAAAATCAAAGAACTGGTAAGTCACGCATCAAATATTTAGAGCATTCTTTAGCTTTTTTACATTTATTTTTTATTTTATTTATTTATTTATTTATTTATTTATTTATTTATTTATTATTTTTTGCTCTTTTTGAGACAGGGTTCCCTGCAGCCCCAGCTGTCCTGGAACTCACTATGTAGACCAGGCTGGCCTTGAACTCACAGAGATCCCCCTGCCTCTGCCTCCCGGGTGCTGGGATTAAAGGCATGCACCACCATGCCCGGCCTATTTATTTATTTCTATTTTATGTATATGAGCATTTTGACTACATGTATGTAAGTGCACCCATGTTGTGCCGTGCCCACAGAAGATCCCCTGGAACTGAAGTTATGGATGGTTGTTAGCTGCTATGTGGGTGTTGGGAACTGAACTTGGGTCCTCTGCAAGAGCAGCCAGTGCTCTTAACTGCTGAGCCATCTCTCCAGACTCTTCTTTGGCTTCTTAAATTAAGAATGTCACTCCATTTCCTCTTAGGATAGGAAAGAGATTATCCTTTATAACTTCTTTTTCCTTTTGTGTTTTTGAGACAGGACTGACATTGTGTCCTAAGCTAGTCTGGACCTCACAATCCTGCCTCAACTTCCCGAGTGGTAGATTACAAATGTGTGCCCGCACACCAGGCTTAATTTTTTTGTTTCTTTAGATGCTATCTCCTGGTGATTTTGTATAACCTTAATTTATAGCATAATTAGGCTTGATTTCTTCTTTTGCTTTTTGTTAGAAAATTACTACACGATTTCATTTTAAAAACTTAATATGTTTGTTTGTTTATTTATTTATCGTGGGGAGGGGAAGCTTACTCATACCATGGTATGTATGTAGAGGTCAAAGGACAACTTGAGGCAGTTGATTCTCTTCTAGGAGTTGAACTCAGGTCGTTAGGCTTGACTGCAAGTGCCTTTACCTGCTGAGCTATCTTACCAGTCCACTTTTTGTTTTTAAAGAAAAGTATGGTATGAGATAGTCCCACTGGAAAGAAAAGCGTGGTCATGCAGTATTTTTAGGAGACCAGAGCGTGTTCTGGTGTAGAGCTTCTAGGGACTCACTTGTCAGTCATACAATATGTGATTGTTCTTAAGTGAGTTGGTAAGAAAATTAAAGATTGATTTTATACTCCCCCATAGCTTTCAGCAGAAGTGAAAATCTTGATCCAAGGTAGTAGTTTGGAGGACTGTTGACAAATATGGATTCTAGGGACTGCCTAGATGTCTCAGTGGGTAAAGGCACTTGCTGCCAAGCTTGATGACATGAGTTTGATCCCTAGGACCCACATGGTAGAAAAAGAAAACCAACTTCTGGAGCCATGGCATGCATGCCTCCCTCCCTGACCCCCAGATAAATAAATTAAAATGTAATAAAAATGAAAAAACATGGATTCTGGGCTGGGGTGATAGCTTGGCGGGTGGTACTGATGCATCTCAGCCATTTTGTATGGTTATATTCTGGACATTTTCTAGCTGCAAATGAGTCTTGAAAAAAAGGAGAAGAAGAAAAAGAAGGAAAAGAAAAAGAAGCATAAGAAACACAAGCACAGAAGTTCGAGTAGTGATCATTGGAGCAGCGAGGAGGAGCACAGCCAGGGGAGGTGAGCAAGTGGAAGCAGCCTCCCTCATCACTGATCTTCTTGCTCGCTCACTCGCTCATTCATTCATTCATTCATTCATTCATTCATTCATTCCACAAGAGGAACTGAGCCTGTTCTGAGCCAGGAACTGCCAGCCACTGTGGTTTTAGTGTTAAACACATAGATGTGGATCCCATGCCATAGAGCTTGGCACTGCAATTCCTTAGAGGTGCTAAAATAGATGAGTGGGTTTCTTGATGTGCCCTTGGATGGATACCAAGAGCTAACTTTCCTCTCAGATCTTAGGTCCCAACTCCTGGTTTGACTCTGTTTTATCTCAGCTTGGGTCCTCAGGACTGAAGTGAATTTCCTATAGGTCTTTTTTTTTGGTCTTTATGAGACAGGGTCTCCCTGTAGCCCCAGCTGTCCTGGAACTCACTCTGTAGATGAGGCTGGCCTTGAACTCACAGAGATCCGTCTGCCTCTGCCTCCCAAGTGCTGGGATTAAAGGTGTGTGCCACCACGGCCACCTGACTTTTTTTTTAATGGATTAATTGGACCATGTGGGCCCATTCTGCATCTTCCCATGGGAACAGTAAGCTTTGCTGCTGCTGACTCACAGTTAGTCCCTGGAATAGCAACATGAGGTGAGAGGAGAATGTGTTCAGGCGCTGGGACTGAGAGCTCGGCCCACGGCTTTTCACAGGAAAAACTTGACTGTGCTGATACATCTTCCAGCAAAGACAGTCCAAATAGAGAAACACACTGCCAAGTAATAGCAAGTAATGGCTGGGAGGTGGGAAAGGGCACATTGTGTCAGCATAAGAGATTTAAATTGAACCTGTATGCATTTTCTTTTTCAGTGAATGTATTTATGTTTTAATCTCTTAGGTCTCAAAAGAAGATGATAGATTCCTTTCCTGTTTTGTCCAAAGCCCCTGGATATGGCTTACAGGTAAAGATATGGGCTTTTCAAAGGGAGTGACTATGGGACTGTTCAGGTCTTCATCCTGGCATCTGTATATAGCAGGGTAGTTTGTATTGTGAAGGCTGGGGCTGCTGAGGAACCAGTCCTGCTCCTTATGCTTGAGCACATTTTCTCCACTGAGGGTCCCCTTGAGCAGAGAAGAAATCACTAGTGGGATATTCAGGCATTCTGCCCACAACTGCAATTTACATGAAATGTACAGATTTTGATAGCTTTTGACCAGTTGATAACCCTCAATTTTTAAATTTTTCATTTTTTGTGTGGCACTTGGGCCTTGTGTATGCTGAGCAAGGCTGAACCATGTCCTCAGCCTTTGGTTTCTTGGTTTTGTTTTTGTTTTGTGAGGGGGAGGGGAGTCTCATAAAATGAAGGCTGATCTGGAACTTGATATGGAGCTGACGCTGACCTTGAACTTGATCCTCCTGCCTTTACCTCCTAAGTGCTAGTAATAGGGGTGTGCCCTGTTACATCTGGCTGTGTTTCATTTTTGTTGTTACTGTTTTTGTTTGGGTTTTTGCTTTGAGACAGAGTTTCACTCTGTAGCTTAGGCTTGGAATCTTGGAACTCACTTCTGCCTCAGCCTCAAGAATGCTGGCATTTTAGCTGTGGGCCATCACATCTGGCTCTTTTGTGAGACTGTCTCAAAAACTGAATTCTGGGGCTGGAGAGATGGCTCAGTGAAATGATTAAGAGCACTGACTGCTCTTGCAGAGGACCTGGGTTCAATTCCCAGCACCCACATGGTGTCTAACAACCATCTGTAACTCCAGTTCCAGAGGAATCCAACACCCTCTTCTGATTTCCTTGGGCACTGCATGATACAGGTACACCTACCTACATGCAGGCTTAACACTCATACACATAAAATAAAAATAATACATAAGCCAGGTGTGGTGGCACATGCTTTAAGTCCAGCACTCGGGAGGCAGAGACAGGCAGATCTCTGTGAGTTCCAGGCCAGCTGGAGTTATAGGAAGAGCCTGTCTCAAGACAAAATAATAATACATAAAATATTTAAAAAAATATTTATGCCAGGCATGGTCGTGCACGCCTGTAGTCCCAGCACTTGGGAGGCAGAGGCAGGCGGATCTCTGTGAGTTCAAGGCCAGCCTGGTCTACATAGTGAGTTCCAGAACAGCTGGGGCTACAGGGAGACCCTGTCTCAAAAAGACCAAGAAAAAAAAAAAATTTATTATTTTTATTTTGTGTGTATGCGTGTATTGCCTGCCTGTAGGTAAGTGCACCCGTGTCAGGCAGTCCCCTTGGAGGACAGAAGAAGCTGTTAGATCCCCTAAAACTGGAGCTATGGACAGTTGTTAGCTGCTATGTGGGTGCTGGGATTTGAACCTGGGTCTTCTACAAGAACAGCCAATGTTCTTAACCACTGAGCCATCCCTCCAGCCCCATTTTAAAAAAATTAAAATAAATAAATATATATATTGGTCTCTTTGAAGCAGGGTCTCCCTGTAGCCCCAGCTGTCCTGAAACTCACTATGTAGACCAGGCTGGCCTTGAATTCACAGAGATCCGCCTGCCTCTGCCTCCCAAGTGCTAGGACTACAGGCATGCACCACCACGCCTGCCTAAAATATTTTTTTTAAAAAGAAAAAACCTCTGATTTCTTCTGCCTCAGCATCCTGAATGCTGGGATTGCAGGCTTGCAGTTCTTGGCTTTTCTGAGGCAGGGTTTCCATATGTAGTTCTACCTGGCCTCAAAATTGAGGTCTTCCTGCCTCTGCTTCCTGAGTTGCTAGGATTACAGCCACCACAACCAGCTTTTTTTTTTTTTTTTTTTTTTTTGAGAGATATCTGTATGAAAACAGTTTAGAGTTGAATCCTCCTGCCTCAGTATCCTGAGTGCTAGTCTTCAGGTATGCACTTTCATGCTGACACGCACAGATATACTCATCTGTGATCACTTGGTACCTTATAGGAAGAGCTTCTTTGCTCATTCTTTTCCTTGCTCCACTGCGTTTCCATTCGATCTCTTCCTTGCCTTATTGATACAGGTGAGGTATTCGGACCGTAACCAGGGACTGCAGGGTCCTTCGATGGCTGAGCAAAGGGGAATGAAGAACGATTCCCAGTCAAGAAGTTGCTCCTACTCACCCCCTAGACGCACCAGTAAGAAGAGTACCAAGGAAGAGAGGTCCCAGGACAGGAAACCTCGATCCCCAGGGGGCAGAAGGTCACGGTCCCCAAGGGCCAGCAAACTGTGAGTGTGTGAAGTCACTTAGAAATCACCTGTGACCACAAGGGCCTGGTCACAGCAGGTATTTGCTTTGGGCAGTGTCCATTATTGACATTCTCAAATGTCTGGGCTTTATTTCCTTTATGTAATTCTTTTTATACCTCACAGTAATTACAATGTAATCACAAATCACGCATTTGTAGGAATATTATTGTGTTGGTGGAATTTCCTCCCTTCTGTTTGGATTATATATACTTTTTGGATTATACCTTGTGTGTGTGTGGGGGGGGTGCCATGTACATAAGTGTGGGTACCTACTGAAGAAAGTGTTAGGTATCTCCCTCTGTCACTTTCCACCTTGTTCTTTTGAGGCATTGTCTCTTTCTGAACCTGGAGATCACATATTTTGGGCTACTCTGAAAGCCAGCAAGCCCCAACAATCCTCCCCACTTGGTGCTGTGGTTGCAGGCATGCACAGGGACTGTGCCCAGCTTGTCCTATGGGTCCTGGGAGCTGAAAGCCAGTCCTCATACTTACACAGCAAGAAACCTTAACTGCTTAGCTTCCCCAGGTCTTGGATTATACTGTTAAGAAAGTTCTTTTCCATTGCTTAAGGAATATATTAATAATTCCCCATGTCAAAAAGGCTTATTCCTTCTGTTACAGGCATACCTCTAAGGTAAACAGGAAAGAGAGAAGCCAGACTAACAGCCCATCCCCTAAAAAGGAGGTCTACCAGAGGCGGCATGCTCCTGGATACACAAGGTAAGTCAGGAGCACACCAACTTCAGATTTTGTAGAGCTGCATCTGGAAGCTCACAGCAGGGCAAATGGTAATGTGTCTGATTTCTTCACCAGATTGACTTTTATTACTCTTGTGAACTTTTTTTTTTTTTTTTGGTTTTTTTGAAAAAGGGTTTCCCTTTAGCCCCAGCTGGCCTG